AGGAGGGGGTGGCGGGGAGGGGACTTACCTTCACGCCATCATTCTTCTTGTTGCCACCACTTTTGCCTCCTGGAGAGAGGAGGAAGGAGGTTAGGAGAGCCAGGCAGGGCACCAAGACCAGGAGGCCGAGGATCAGCAGCATGGTGCAGGGCAGCGGAGAGGCAAGACCCCGTGGGACCAGCCGGTGGGTTTTGTCCCCTCTCCAGTGACCCCCAGTACAATCCCTGGGAGCTCAGGGGTGACCTTGCCGGTACTGTTCAGTCCTACCCCGGCAGCTCTCAGCTGGGGGCATGACTTGTCGCCTAACGTCACGCTGAGTCCTTGGGGTGGCTCGGAGGGGGCCGGCAGGGCTGTTTGGCGGCAGGCAGGCTCCGGCTGGGGGGTGCTGGCGACCGAGCACAGCGCAGCAGTGAGGTGGAATGGGCTGCCCGCCTGCCACCCTCTAATTTTAGCCCCATGCTGCCGGGATCATGTGCTGCCGGCCCGCCGGCCCGACAGCTGCAGCCCACATTTTGACAATGATGAAAAGCAGACGCCTTCCCCAGTGCCCACCTATCGCTGTCAGCACTGCCCCAGCCCCCCGGGCTGCACAAGCCAACCCGCTCCCCCTGCACCTCCAAAGCAGGGTGGGATCAGTGGGGCTCAGCCCCATGCAGGACCCCATCGCCCACCAGCCCCACTGTGCTCCGGAGAGCCCCTGGGCTGTGCGTGGGACGGGCAGAGCTACAAGAGATGCTTTTGAATTTCCTGCCCTTTGATGCTTCGTGTCCACTGCGTCTCCCGACACGGGGCCTGACACCGGATCCCCCCAGCTGTTGGACTCCTCCAGCCCCGCCACACGGTGCCCACAAGTGCTAAATGTGTCAGCACGATCCCCCCACGACAAATGCAGATACCAACCCTGGCCACAGCCTCTCTCCTGGCACCTGGCTGGGCCAGCAGCCCCCATCTCCCCCCTGCCCACCTGCTACACCTGACTCCTGGGGCGCCTCAGTGAAGCACCCCGAAACACCCATCTAACACCAAACAGCTGCCACCAGCCCACTGAACCAGCGTGCTGGGCTTGGCTGCTTGTCCCATCCTTGCAGCACCTCTGCTGGGGCCATCTCCTGCTGGAGCAAGTGGATGAGCTCTGCAGTCACCCAGTACCTTTTTGGTTCCATGCCTGGGAATCACCAGGACCCGCTGACCCCTGCCTGTGAAATCCCAGGTGCAAGGCTTGCTCCAAGGCAGCACGGTGTCCCCAGAGAGGACAGCTCTTGGCAAGAGCACTGGGGCAGTGGGGCTTGTGTCTGCACCAAGACCTCTCCCTGTGCACTGCCTGGGCTGTCATGCTCTGGCCATGCTCCTGTGTCTCTGTGCAGCCCTCGGGATGTAGGGAGGCAAGAGGAGAGCGGGGGCCCATGAAGGATCAGCATTCTCCTGCTGAGGGAGATGCCCAAGGGACCCTGCTGCAATCTGGCTGCAGCGGCACTCAGGGAACTTTCCAACATGTTCCTGGTGCAGAGGATGCTCTCCCAGAACCACAAACATCTCCAAGGAGGACACAAAACCAGCTGCCTTGAGCCCTGGCTGCCCCCAGCACGCACATCCCCACGCTGGCACAAGCCAGATGGTTGGGTGCACACAAACCCCAAAGCCCTAAAACTCTGGGGACCACTGCACCTCAGCTAGACACTGTTTCTCTTGCATCCCAAGCCAGCAGCCAGCCTGGAGGTGCCAGATGACCCAGCCTGGACCACCACCCAATGCCACCCATTCCTAGAGGCACCAGGCTGCAATTTCAGCCCCCTGTGACACCCGAGGCAAAGATGGCTCTCCAGGGACACTTTGGGTTTGCCCTGGGCAACCTATAAGACATGGAGATGAGCCCCGGCAACAGCACCTACCGGAGAAGTTCCTGGTGGCCAGCATGGTGGTGAGGATGGCTCCCTGAAAGACACAGAAGGCAGAAGGAAAGGGCATGCTGGGCCCCAGCCCCCCCGCACCCCTGCCGCTCCCCGAAGCCCTGGGGAAGGAAAGCCCTGCTCGTCACCTGTCCCCCAGCCACCTCGCTGGAAGGAAACTGGCCCACAAGCTGATATTCTCCTCCTGCCATCAAAAGCAAGCCCTTGGTACCTGACTCCATATCCCCAACACTAGGGCGTTGGGTTGCATTCTCTGAAACTGCCTTTCCCTCCAAGATTAAAGGGATATTAAATATCCCCGAGGCACATTTCGGTCTTGTTCTACCCTGCCCTACATGTAGCACGACTCCACTGACCGGGGCCGGCAGCTGGCAGCAAGGGGAGCCACTGGGAGCGGAACTGGATTTAATGGCAATTAAAGCTGTGCCAGCTAAGAGTAGCAGGGCAGGGATTTTTCATGGGAGCCACGCAAAGATCACCACCACAAAATAACATTCATAAAAATGCTTCCCCTCTGACTCCACTAACTAGTTGCTCAGCGTGTAATGAGATTACTTTGGACTAATTGTTTACAGTAATGGATTACTATTTCAAAGTGTATGCCTGAACTAATTTGATTACTTGTCTAGCTGAAAAGTAATAATAGTTCATATCCAGTTTCTTTTTTTGATAATCTTGTTAGTAGCCTGCAGCTGTAGTGCTCTGTGCTACATTGCATTCAGGCCTGGAGTGCTGATGACTCTGACTGCGGCACAGATCCGCACCGTCCCATTCTGTCTCAGCTCTGGAGGAGGCATTGCGATTTCCAGAGCCCGTTCCCAGTGCTGCGCTGCCAGCTGAGGCTGAGCAGCATCCAGGAGATGAGTGCTTCATGGAGGCACTCCAGCTTAACAGTGAAGCCTGGGGAGATGGTGATTTCTGAGGAGGTCCAGGCTGCGGCACACAGCAGCATCCAAGAAGGGAAAGCCTGTGGGGCTGCTGGTGTTAGTGAGCCAGAACTTTTTGCCTGTCTAAGGATCACTTTGTCTCTTGGATGTAAAGTGGCTTGGTCATCAGGCAAAGGGGTCTCGTGTGACTCAGATCCACAACCTGCCCCAAAGAGGAGCTTTCTTGACACTGACTCCAGTGGGGCAGTCCTCACCCCAGCATCCAGGGCAGCTGTGTGACTCAGTGCTTTCCTTCACCGTGGCTTTCTTCTAAGTACTTGGGAACCCCCCAGGCAGATGCAGCCACCACCCAACTTGGTCTATTTTCCCTTCTTCACAACGGGGATCCCCAAATGTCCGTCACCCCCATACCACTGACCCAGGGACACCACCCTGTCCTTTGCCACATGGGAAACAAAGCCACCAATGACCTGATCATGCATTTTCCAGCCAGCTTGGAGAGTTTGAGAGTTACCTTCAGCTTCCTCCGGGCATTGAACTTCTTCAGACAGTCCACTGTCTCCTGCCTGTGCATGCATGATGCCACGGTGGCACGGTGCTGGGAGGAGAGAGACCCAGATCAGAGCAGGCACCGAGGGGGAAAGGGCTCCCCCCGCCCCACTCTCACCCGCAGGCACACGTGTGTGGACTCCTGCAGCCATGGCACGGGGCAGAGCTGCCTACAGCAGCAGCAGCAGCAGATAAAACTTTAATAGGCAGTGGGAAATTGCTGCTCTGGAGTCAGCAGGATCTGCTCTGGCAGTGGGGGAGTTTGCAGGGAGAGCTGGCTGCCCCCTGCGTTAACCCCTTGACCGACCATCCGTGTTTAGCAGTGTGCTCAGGGTTTGCACATGGCGTGGGGTCCCAGGGTTAAGCCCGTGGACGACTCCTGTCTTTAGGAGCCGATTCAGAGTGAGAACGGCAGCCGGAGCAGCAGGGTGCAGCGGTAGGTGCGAGGGGATTGCTGGTGGGGTGTATGGATGGATAAACACAAGCCTGCCCCCGCCATCCCTAAGGAACACCCTCCCTCAGCGCAGCGTGACACCAAGAAAGCAGCCTGTCCCCACCAGGGCTGGGAACATTTGGGTTCCTCTCATCACCAGCTCCCTTAGGACATGCTGTTTGCATTCACACTCTGGGCTTTTCTCTGCTGTAAAGCCTCAGGGGAGAGGCTGCTCTGAGAGCACTGGGAGGAACCATGCCAGAAAACCATCTTCCCAGGATGGGGAAAAGAGCCAGACAGCATGTTTGATAACACACGCTCCCCAGTGAGATGTTCCCCCCTTGCAAACCCCCACATCTCCAGACCTTCAACCCCAACCAGTGAGTGCCACCAAAACTCACCGATATCCAGGGGTGCTTCAGAGCCTCCGCTGCCGTGATGCGCTTGGACGGGTTTATGGTCAACATCTTGTTGATGAGATCTTTTGCTTCAGGAGTCACTGTGTCCCACTCAGGGGAGGGGAACTGCCAAAGCAAAGGGATCAGGGTGAGAGATTTCAGGGAGCATTAGAAGGAGCAGAAGCCCCTTTGCACTTGTGCTGGTTCTGCATCCTTTTGCTCCTGCCCACAGGACAGGTTGGAGAGACAGTAGCAACTGGAAAGAGCTGCCAGCTGCAAAACTGGGGGGCAGGGGTGGAGGGAGAAAGGTGGGAGGACCAGGACAAGATCTATCTGTCCTGCAAAGTGGACCTGAAACATGCCAGTGTGTGAACCTGGGCATGGCAGCTTGACCAACCCTCTGTGACCAGATCGGAGGAAAGAAACTTGCTCCCATCTACCTGAATTTGTCCTGGTTGCTCTTCTGGGGCAGCAGAATGCAAGGCAGGGACAGCAGGAGAGAGGGGAGACTGTGAAAGGGAGGAGCAAGACAAACCCACTCACATCATAAGCCCCAGCCTTGATCTGCTGGTAGAGTCTGTGCTGGTCTTCATCCCAAAAGGGCGGGTACCCGACCAGCAGGATGTAGAGGATGACACCTGCCCGGGAGAGGAGAAGTGTGATCAGTGAGAGAGTTCATTGCTGGAAGTATGAGCAGACCCAGCCCAGGGACTGGCCCAACTCAAGCAGAGAAACTAAGAAATTAGGGAAATGGGAGGATTTGCTCCCTGGTTAAAAAGCAAAAGGCTTGCTGGTGGGTCCAGCTCCATGCTGGGGACATACATGGCTCTGACAGCCACTGTGCACAGCCTCAACCGGGTGCCCCATCTGGGCTCCCCTGCAGCTGCAGATACATGGAGGCACTGCCCGACTCCACCAGCACTGCAGGGCAAAAGAGCATCTCCCCTTCCTGGAGGGGTTGGATGCATAACAGGGGGGGATGATCCTTCAGAGGAAGGTGCCACTGGACTGGGAAGGAGGGTGCTACTCTGGGTATGGCCCAGGGTAATGTGCCACCTCTCAGGTAAATCCTCCACCCTGACCTCACGGAGTCATGTCCAGTGACTGCGACTTGGGACATGCTGCATGGACAGCCTGGCTCATTCCATGCAGCCCAGCTCAGCCCATTCCCAGCATTTCAGCCCCGACTTACCGCAAGCCCACAGGTCCACAGCTTTGCCATAGGGGTCCTTCCGGAGCACCTCGGGGGAGAGGTATCCCGGGGTGCCAGCGAAACCTGGGACAGACAACCCATCACACACCACATCCCCGCACAGCTCACCTGGTGCCCAGCCAGCTGTCACGAGAGCCCTGGCCCTGGCACACACCGAGCTGGCAGGACAGGCACCCTCCCTCCAGAAACCTCTGTATCTCCCAAGAGCAGAGCAAAGGGCAAGAGCCAGCGACAGCAGTCAAACCCCAGGATGGTGCAGAAGGCTCGAGTGCTCTGCTGTGCACCTCCAGCACTTGGAAGAGGCTTTCCTCCCCTGGGTCTGCTCCTGCCACTGGCTTGTCTAGCTCACCAGGGCACCTTAGTGACTCACTGACTCCCTGTGGAGCTGTTTGCCTGTGCCCTGTATCAATACTGGCCTGTTTCCAGGGGCACAGCTGGAGCCATTGAACTCCTCCTCAGTCACTGTGCTTCCTAGGCTGGTGCTGCCGAGGTGCTCCCATAACCTGAGGTTCAGGTCCTGGGGATGTGTGTCCCTCCTGGAGCCCGCCCTGACCAAACATGCTGAGGGTTGGAGGATGCCCCACCTCGAGCCAGTCCTACTCACCAAACCATGCTTGTTGGTCCCCCTCCACCTCGATGGCAAGGCCAAAGTCAGCCAGCTTGACGGCAGCACCCTTCAGCTTGGATGCCAGCAGCAGGTTCTCGGGCTGCAGGAAGAGATGGGGCTTGGAGAGGAGCAAAAGCCCTCTGGGGGCTCTGCTGTCATGGGGGGGCTTCCCAGCACAGCATTGAGGAAGATCAGGGCTCTGGATGTGCTCCCCAACTGTTTTATCCTGCTACACACAGCTTCTTAGAGAACCACGGACTACAAGGACCTCTCTACACCCTCTCCCTTGTGTCATTTCACCCCAGAGCTGATCTTTGATCTGTGGCTTCCCAAGAGCTCCTACGTGGCATTCCTCCCCGCTGTGTTTCAGCTGCCCTGGAGGACACTGGGCATTGCTCCACAGGGTTTTGCATCGCAGATGGAGTCCCCACGTCCTCCTACAGGCCCTTCCCCTGCAGCTCCTACCTTCAGATCCCGGTGGACCACCCCCATCTGGTGGCAGTGCAGGACGGCCTCCAGGATCTGCTGGATGCAGTGGCTGCAGGAGAGAGGAGAAAACTCACAGAAGTGGCCAGCAAGGCAGAGTTTCCTCAGACACTTCTACTCAGCTGCATTTCACATTCCCTGCCCCTCTCCCCATCACACTTTCCACGTGCAGCCCTACAGCACAGCTCAGCATCCCCCTGCACCGAAATCCACATGCCCATGGAGACCAGTCTCAATGAGCAGGAGCATGGGGGCTACGACTGAGGCCATGAGGTCCCCACAGAAGGAACACTGAGGGATGAGCTGGCGAGCAGCAGTGGAGTCACAATGCCAGTCCAGATTTGGTCTCCAAACCCAGGCAGAGCAGATGTGCTCCTCAGACATAGAGCTAACCATTGCTTCGGCCCCATTTCCCTGGCCTCCTCTAACGCAAGTGACTCTTGCTGTGTCTGTTCGCTTTATCTCTAGTTCATTAAACCCCAGCTCAGCTACATGCATGAGAAAGGAAGAGAAAAAGACTGAGGCAATGATCACTTCTGCTCCAAAACAGCTGTGTGCAAGGCAGGTCTTTATTTACATGTATTTTATTTTATTTGTACGACACTAGTAAGTGGATGGGTTGTAAGTGGATTCAGTGCAGGCAGTCCATTAAATGAGTTTGTTTTCTGCCTAGAAATAAGGAATATTTCCATGCAGACAGAGGTTGCTTAGAGCTTACCACTCCCTTGGACATTTGTATGGGCTATGCTTATCCTGGGGACAAAGCCAAGAGGCACAGTGATATCTGGAGACTGGAGGGGGCCAAATCATGTCCCCTCAAAAAAAAAAAAAATGAGGCTAATGCTGTCCCCTGGCTGAGATGCAAGGATCAAAGAGGTGGCTGAAGCGGTACCCAGACCCCTGCCTCTGCTGCAGGGTACCTGGAAAGTGCCAGCGGGAGCGTGGGAGGGAGCGGAGCTCCAGCACATCCTCCCACCCAGCCTGTCTTGACTGCTCCTCCTTAGTGCTTTCAAGTGGTAAATGCCAGGGAAACGCTTGCAAATGACTGTAATGCAGCTGCAAGGGGAAGAAAGAGTGAGGACTGTGGGGTGTCTGTATTATCACGCTCCTGGCTGGGGCACCAGCCCGCTGCTGGGCATCCTCCCTGCCAGCCCAGGGAGCCCCGATGCCTAATTCTTTTACAGAGAGGTCAGCTGTGGGCTATGCCATCAGCCCGGGGAAGGAGGATGCTGCGAGTGATGGCTGGCAGCTGCCTGATTCGAGGTGGGGACCAACCCTCTGGTAACATATGCACATCTTGGCACGGGAGCCGAGTGAGTTAAAAAGTTTAAAAGAGAGCTTTTTTTGTTTGTTTGTTTGTTTTGTTTTTGTTGCACTGTGCATATGTTTTATGAGTACGCGCTGCGGAGCGGCTGTAAAACACCTCCCAGCATGGAAGAAGCTTATGCTGCAGAAAGCCAGATGCGTAGGACCCTGGGAGGGAGCAGCCCAAGGGATGAAGGGGACAACTGCTGACCCCTCCATGGCCCGGTGTGTGTCTGTGCTCACCTGGCATCCGCTTCACTGTAGTACTCCCTGGCCACGATGTCCTCAAACAGCTCCCCACCAGTGACCCTGCAAGAAAATGGGGGGAATCAGGCTCTGCCATCTCATGCAAGGGAGCTGGATTGATTTACAGCACACCCAGACCTGGCAAACCCCCGCAAAATGCTGCTGTGTCATGCCCGGGGCGGGGAGCATTGGGGGTGCAGGGCAGGGACCTGCCCTCTGCCCAGCTTGGAGGACCCACGCTTGGTTCAAACCCAGGCTGCGGGAAGGGCTTGGGGAGGTGGAGGATGGGGAAAAGGTCAGAGGGGCTGCAGGGGTGCAGGGTGCATCGCCCCGAGGTGGAAGCATGCAGCTGCTGGTGGATTAAGAGATGCATTTAACCATTACTCACAGGTCAAATATCAGGTAGTGGTGGCCCTCTTCGGAGATGCTGTCATGGAGCCTCACTGCGGCAGAGACAGAAGGGTTACGGGGTACGCCTGGATCTCACCCTGCTCCCCAGGAACGCCTTTGCTCCCCTTTGGGCAGAGGCAGGAGCTGGGGAAGGGCAGAGCGGGGCTATTCCTCCTCTCTCCTCCTCTTGCTATTGCTGCTGGCTGGGTGCGGGGGGGTCCCTGCTCAACAGGGGACCGCAGCCAAGGCCCCAGCCTTGGGCAGTGGTGCAAGGCTCAAAGGTCAGATCCAAATCAGGGACTGCCCGGGGCTGATGCCTGGCCAGGGTCCCGAGCAGCTGCTGAGCCTATCTTGGGCGCTGGGCAGGCTGCAGGGATGGGAGCCCCCAGTCCTCTGCCCCATCAGGAGAGGTGCCCGGGCACAGGGAGAGCTCAGCTGAGGTGCTGGGCTGCCAGCCCTGGCACCGACAGGGCTTTTTTCTTTTTCTGCTCGTGACCTTCCTTTTCTCCTTGGGAGATCTTGGGTTGGGGATATCCAGGAATCACTGTCGGATGAGTTTCCTTCAGAGGAAGCACTCTCCCTGTCTCCTCCTGCAGGGCTGGCATCTCGCCCTGCTCATCACGCCGAGGGGCACCTGCTCCCCTCGGGTGCAAACCTGTCCCCCCTGCAGCTGGGCTCCAATTACTGAAGCTCACATCCCTGCTCACAGCTTAGCAGGCAGATGTGCAGCGAGGGACAGGCACAGAAACAGGTAGGATGTATAAATAAAGACAGGTCCAGCATCCTCTGGCCCCCACATTTTGCTCTGATTTCCTTGAAGCTGTAAATATTTAACCCTTCCTCTCTGCTCACCTGTTTTCAGCTCAATACAACTTTCAACATCTTTGAGATGTTTGGAAACCAGGGAGGAAAAGGAAACATTCAAGTGAATGATTTTGTGGGAGTTTTTGCTTCCAGCCCGTTTTGCTGCAGCTAAATCAGCTGAGCCCTGTATGGAAACATCCTCCAGCCTTGAGTCTGAGCCGGAGGAGATAACAAGCTCCAACATCGAGTGCAGACGCCGCGCTGCATCGCTCTTATCTCCCAGGCCAGCCAACATCACTGCGCTGGTCCTGCCCCTCCCTCCAAGCTCAGTGGGCAGATCCAGCCACGGCTAAGAGCAAGATGCCAGCAGCATTACCTCACCCTGGCTCGGGCAAGGGGCAGAGGGGCGTCTGTTAAGCTGGACGGCACCTTTCCTCTTGGTCTCTATCATGGTCTTGTCTAGTGACGCAATTTTCTCATCTCACTCCCTGGTTATCCTTCCCCACTGCTGGTCTCCATAGACAATCCCTGCACTCTGACAGAAGTATCTGCTCCCTGTTTTTCTCTGACACATGATCCCAGCTTTTCTGCCTTCCTCTGCTGGAAGAAACATATTTCCTCCCATTCCATCTCACCCGAGAGGGATTGGGGGTATTGTGCATGGGACTCTGCAGAAGCCAAACTGTTCAAAGGGGGATTAGGCGAGTTCGGTGTGGATAGGGCCAGCGTAACTATAAGCAGATGGTCCGGATACATCCCCTGCTTGGGGGAGTCCCAGTGCCTGTGGCTGCCAGGAGCTGTGAAGGTATAAGAAGGATCAGCCGTTCCAAATATAGTCTGGTTCTGCAAGTATCTGTTACTGACCATAGTCAGAAAGAGCTGCACCAGCCAAACCACTCCAGCTCGGTGCCAAGAGCCCAGGCAGGACTGGGACACAGCTTTGGGACGGAGGGTCAGAAGATGATGGGTACCTGAAGTTAAAACTCCAGGGCTGGGTGTAGCCAAAGTTTCCCCGATAAAGCAAGACTTCCCTGCAAGGACTCACAACTCTGGGAGATGTCAGCTCTCCCTCATACATGCCCGGTGCCGTGGATGTGCTGCAAGGCCGTGGGGACCTGAACCTGCGCCCTCGACTACCCACGCATGGCTTTCTGGGCTAGCCTCTCCTGCAGGCACGGTGCAAAGCACAGGTTGGTTCCTCCAGGATCGCAGCGCAGCACGGCATTCCCACGGGAGAGGGAATGACCCACCCGGCTACAGGGAGCAAGTGAGGGGCCAGCAAAGCCCCTGGGCAGCTGGGGTGCTTCTCCCAAGAAGGGATGGAGAGGGGTTTTCTGCTTCGCCTTCCCCGTGCCCCTAGCAGCGGCTGGTCTGCAGCGGCACAGCCCGTTCCAGCGCCCGGGTGGGTAATTAGCCGGCTTGTGCCGCATGCAAGGGAAGCTGCGAGCCCGAGTTTCCAGGCAGCAGGAACAGTGGGGGGGTGAGGGTGTGGGGTGGGGGGGTGGAGAAGAGCCTCCTGGGTATAAATAGCAGTGAGATTGGGCTCATTAGGATCTCATGCCGTTAACCCTTTCCAGCCCTATGCAGCAGGGTTGCTTGAAGCCCACCATCACTGCAGGTCACGGCCAGACAGCGAAGTGTGGTGCAGGGGTAGGGGAAAAGGCACAGGGAGGTTGGACTGCAGGATGAAGTGTTTTCTGTCCCCTGAGACCCCACCAGCCCCACGGGCAGGTGATGGACAGGGAAGGGAGGAAGACAGAGGTAGGGAAAAGCTGGAGCCCGGCTGGGGGCCGGGGGAGCTTTGGCTGCATGGCCCAGCTACTGTGCTGCAAGTCATCCTGGGGTGGATTCCACTGTTTTTAGCATTTCTTGCTATTCACACACCTTACAGCGTGTTTCCTTCGGGTGTCAGCAATCCCCACGTCTATTTTGGTGCAGAGGAAAGGCCCCAGCTGACGCTCTGACCGGGGAGGGGGGGCTGGACTCCCCGCAGGAACCCCGGCAGGACAGCCCCCGTGTGAGGCATCAGTGCTGCCAGAGCAGAGGCAGAGGGAATGACGGTGGCCAGATTCTGCAGCATCCAGCACCCCGGCAATGCAGGGGAGACCTGTCACACAGCCATGTGCCTGAAACAGATGGAGGCTGACAGGCTTTTTCCAAACTGAAATATTTATGGGGCAGAAGCTGTGTGGCTGGTCCCAGTGGCGCCAGGTCTGGCTCCCTGGATCTGCTGCAGCGGTTCCCTGGGGAAGGACGGATCCAGGCCACCCAAAGCAGCCAGGGGTCCAGGGAGGAGCTCAGCCAAAGAGGAAACCTCCCAGCTGCTGGCTGAGGGATGAGAGGGCTGCAGAGCTCCTGTCCTACCCCCAAAAGCTGCAGGATCCCGCCGGGGTTGGCACATCCTGGGGTGCAGCGGAGGGGAGAGGGGATTCATCGCTGCTCCCGCTGCCGGACCATCCCTGGGAACTGGCAGCCTGCATCAGCATCACTCTTAAGGCTGGGGTTTGGGATTTTTTTTTTACTGCAGTTTTTTCTCCTCCTCTCTCTCTCTCCTTCTGGCCTATTTTTGTCTTTTGCAGGGGCTCGGGAGTTTTCCTGAAACAGCTTTTCCGAAGGAGGCTACTTTCAGATGGACGGTCGGTGGGAAAGTCTTCGCTTCCCCCCGCCATCGCTCCTCCTACACGCCCTGCGCTGCTGCTGCTGCTCGGAGCTGCAGCCGCTTTTTGGAGCATGCAGAGGAATACAGCACCCGGGCGGGGGGAGAGGAGTAAAAATAACCCCTTGCAGCCTACTGGGGCCCTGCTTCTCCCTGAGGGAGCTATGGCCAAGTGGGTTAGCTAGGATCTACTTCAATCCCCCTGCGCTCGGTAGAGGTCTTTCTTCCCATGACCCCATTTGAAGATGCTGCCTCCCGTGAGGAAGAAGAGGGACAGCTCTGCAGATCAACACAGGACAGGCTGTTGCCAAGCCCCTTCTCTATCTCCGAGATAGTGGCCAGCATGCAAGGGAAGGACAAACAGCCAGTGCTGCTGCAGACAGAGCTGAATCACTGATGGGGACCCCCCAGCCCCAACGGGCCATGGGAGGGCAGGTGGGCAGCAGAGCCAGGGACGAAGCACGGGCAGATTTGCCTGGTTCTTCCTTCACCTGGCACACGGCAGGGAGAGGGGCACGCTTACCGATGTTGGGGTGCTTCAGGAGGCGGCAGATCCGAGCTTCTCGTTCCAGCTTTTGGTGATCTGAAAGAGGCAACAGCCCTAAATTAGGGTCTGGAGAAGGGGATAAACTGCTCTCGGCTCCTGCCATGATCTCTTGGAGGAGCTGCTGGCATGGGAAACCTGGGGGAACCGAGCAGCTGGCAAGGAGCAAACCCATCTTTTTTTTTTGCTAAAGAATAACAGGTTTGGGAACACATTCAGCATTGGGGCCTGAGGGATGTTATCCCAGCACGGATGTAGCCCCCAGCCAAGCCCCCAGGCACCAGTGCCAAGGGCAGTCCTGGGCTCTGGATGAGCCCCCACCCTCCTCTCTCCCTTCTCTTTGCTGAACGAGTCCTCATCACCTCCCAGAAATCCCAGAGCTGCCTGAGTTATTACTGCCAGCAGCGCCTGCTTGGTTTTCTCTTATTCAGCCAAGCACAGGCAATCAGCAAGGACATTTCTGGCCCTGAATGGTACAATATGAACAGTCAGAGCTGACCAGCAACGAGACGTCAAGCTGAAACAGTGCTATCTGCTCCACCCCCCTCTCCACTCCCAGCTATTTCACATCAGGTCTTTGCTCTCCTACATCACAAAACCCTGGCTTTGCTCCGGTGCCCATCTCCAAACAGGAGACACAGGTCTCTCTCCCCAGGTTTTCGCAGGCTGGGGTATACAAGACAATGTAGCTCTGGGCAAAGCGAGTTGAGCTAAGCCAAAAGAACGAATTTTCAAATAATTTTGATTTTTTTTTTCCTTGCCTCTGCACTTTTCTGCTTCCTTATACCTGGCCCAGCCACCCTGCATGGAGGTGCCTTGTCTGGAGGCATTTTGTGCTAGCAGGAACCCGGCAGCCGGGAGAAGCGATGATATAATTAGGGCCGCTTGTCTCTCAGCGCTATCACTGTTACCTTGCTGGTTCACACCCCAGAGTCTCGCTCTGTATCAAACCAAACCTGGGTGTCTCCAACCGCTGAGATGTGAAGGCAATGTAGTCCCTTCCCTGCAGGGGCTGGAGCCTTCCCCAGGGCTCAGTATCACCCATCCAGTGACTGCGGGGCTCAGTGTGGGCAAGTCACCCCAGGGCTTGGGGCGAGTTTTGCAGCCTGTGCTGGGCTCTGCGAGCTGAAGGCTGGGACAGCCTCAGTGGCCTCATTCAGCTCCCCACAGCATTTCCCCAATGGGTGACAATCTTCCCAGGGTGGGATGAGGCAACAGGGAGAGGTCAGGGTTTAGGCTGTTGCTTTTTGCAACCAAAATCCATTGTGGGGTGGAGGACAGTGACAGGATGAAGAAACAGAGTGACCAGTGGGGCAAGCACTTCTCTGGGGAGCAGAGGAGCTACTTTCTGCCCCCTCTTCTGCTCCTGCCTGACAGTGATCATAGTTGAGTCACTGATTGTCACTCTCTGCCTCAGTTTCCCCATCTGCAGCCTGGTGGCTGGGGCCAAATGACCCATGGGGAAGCCCAGAATTGCTGGTGTCCAGTAAAGCTCCTTTGCTTGCTTAGAAGAGGCCAGAGATCACAGGAAAGGGCAGTGAATGCAACCCCAAATACAGAGTGAGTCCCAACACTGCTCTGTGTGTCTGTACGCTGCTGCCAGCCGAGCCTTTGGCTGCACAGGTGTGAGCGTGGCCACTGGTGGGGAGCAGAAGGTTGCCCCATCCCTTCCCTGCCATGAGCCACCCAACTCAGTTCTAGCTCCCTGCTGAGCCACCGCAGCAGCAGCATCGTGCGGCTCCCCCAGCCGCTGTCCCCCTCTTTGTACCCTCGCAATCTGTTGCCACCAAAACGCCTGCGAAGGCAAAGCCCAGCACAGGCAGCTTGGTGGGGAATGCCAGGAGGCCAGGGGGGTTCGATAAACCACAAACAGAATGGGGAGGGGGTGGGAGACCAGCAAAAAACAGGCAAAATGGAAAATGGATGAGGGAGTTTAAAGGGAGGGCAGAGATGGGTGCGAGCGCCTGGTAGGAAAGGTCCTGGGGGTGCATGGTCATCGTCTCGCTGGTACCACGGGCTCAGCTGCAAAATGCAAGGGGAAGAGCTGACTGAAATGAGCCACCCACTGCCCAGGGAGCGAAGGCAGCCTGTGCTCTGGGGGCTTTGCTTTTTCTAAGCTGCGTGGGTCCTGCTTGGGAGAGCTTCCCAGCCACGAATGCACAGCAAGGACAGGCTGGGCGTGGGGGCACCCAGACACCTCCGGGTCTGCAGCTTCCTCTGAGCATCGTTTGGGTACAACCACTGCACAGGGCTGCAGGCCGGCAGGGGACCCCCCCCACTTGCGCAAATCTCCCTGACAGGGCTTGCAGGGGCTTTGCATGTCGGTGGGACAGCTGTGCCAGAGCAGTGGGGCCGAGGGGCAGACGGACAGAAGGACAAAGTGGCAGGGGGATGTCCCTCAGGCAGAGGGGCCCTGCTGAGGTTGTGGGGCAGATGCCGTGGGTCAGAGTGTCCCCCCCCTCTGCATGGCACAGCACATCCACCATGCACTGAAGTGCTTCTGGGGACAGTGAGCCACGGCCGCAGCCCCTCGCCTACCCCACAAACCCAGCTGCTGCCTGGACCCAAAACCTGTTTGTCCACCAAAAACGCCAGTTTCTCTCCTGCTGGTTCCCCATGTCGGCAGCCAGGAGGATGTCTCGGCATCCACGGGGATTTTGCAGCTCCTCTCACCTCCTCCTCTCCTCCCTGCACACCTGCCCTCCTGCCCTCCTGCCCTTAGTGGGTGACATAGCCAGTGGCACATCCCCATGGGACAGAGGCTCCTTGTGCCCCTTTGGGGATTGCTCCCAGCCTGAGGAAACGCCATCCCCCATGCTAGCATTGGAGAAATGGGGGTTTCAAGACCATTAGCAAAAGCAGATGGTGATTTCAGCTGGCAGAGCAGGGAAAATAACCCCGGCGGGGTCTCTCTGGGGGTCAGACAGATGCAGCCGCTGCAGGGACAGAGCAAACCCCAGAAGAAGATGGAAAGGGACAAACTGCCGGAGCAGGCGAGCAGAGGCAGGAGGGAGCAGAGGGAAGGCTTCTCAGTCTGCTCCTCCGGGCAGCCCTGCAAACCAGGAGGTGTTTGCTGCCCACCTTGCTGCCAGCAGGCAGAAGCCGAGTGCCAAAGCCAGCACCCCACACCCTGCCCCAGCCTGGGAGTCTTCAGCCTCGGAGGAAGGGAATGGTCCACATCCCTTGAGGAGGGGCAGGAGCCGGCTCTGGGGGGAGCTGGGGGGGCTCAGCGTCAGTGCTGTACTGCTTTGGCAGCGCTGCAGGAGGGAGATTGCAAAGCACTGGTTTAATTTGAGGTCAGAAAGGAGTTTGTCACCGTTTTCTGCGTTTCAGTTTTGCCTTCAGAGGTGAGCAGTGGCATCAGGGAGAGAAACCAAAGAAGGGAGTTAATTAAACCCTCCCGGCAGGGTGCTCGCTCCTGGCACCCATCCTGCGCTCCCTGACGCACCCAGCCAGGAGAAGCTGGAGCTGGGGACACAGCAGCTGTTGTCCCATCCTCTCCATCCTCCTCATTGCAGCTCCTCTGCCAGATGCCTGGGGGCAGAGGGGTCCCTGCCTCAGGGCAAGGGCTGGCTGAAGCTTTTATGGGCTGGCTCAGCTCAGTCTTGCCTCGAGGAACAGCCAGGACAGACCTGCCAGCACCTCTTCCAGCAGCAAAGCAACCAACGTGCTCCACCGGTGCGATTAATTAGATGGCAGCGAGGGGTGAGAGCCCATCTCCAGGTAGAAATGAAATCAAACTCCCTCTTGAAGGACCTTCCCTTCTCACTGATATAGGTACACAAGTAAGGGAACCTGAAGCCCCTGAAAGTGGGGTTGGGGGTGTCAGCGGGGGCCCTCTCAGAGAAGGTGATGATCCCAAAATAACCGTGCTACCCAGTGCCTGAGGCTGGCAGCAGTTTGACTTGTTTGCCACAACATGGCATGTAGGATGGTGGTGGGGATCTCAGGGAGAGAAAAGGGATCCTACAGCTCCCTGGGCAGGTTGGGGTCTGGGATCCCCCCAGAGCCCTGGCAGAGCCGGGCTGTGGGTGCATCCCGTCAATCGGATAGGATGTGGTGAGCAGCCACCAAGACATCTCCTCCGGACGTTCGCCCCATCCATCAAGGAGCAAAGTGTGTTCTGCAGTGGAGACAGGGTGGGATAAGGGTGTCCCCCACTGCACATCAAATACCCTCCACGTCAATGCACATCAAAGGCACCATCCCAGAACCGCGCAGAGGGGATGAATTCCCCGCTCTGCAAACCCTGCTTGCCTCTCACCCCCCAAAAAATACCCCCAGCACCTACCTCGAGCAGACAGCTTCTTGGTGTTGATGATCTTGGCCGCATACTCTTGTCCTGCCAACACCTTCACGCATCTCCGGACGATGGAGAAAGCGCCCCTGGGAAGATAAGAAGCCAGAGGGAGAAGTGAAGGGCATGGCTCAGCCCCGATGTGCCTGTGGGATGAGGGGCAGCCACAGGGCTGGGGCTGGGGCTGGGTGCTGGCTGGGGAAGGGCCTTGGCGGGCTCTCCATTGCCCTCCCTGCACCACTGTCCTTGGGGAATGACGGGATCAAGCAAAGGTAGACCTGGGGATGGGTGCAGGATTTGCCTCTCCATGCTCCCCGGGATACCCCGCACATCGTGCACCCTTCCTCCTCTCCCTCCCTGCCTGTCCCCAGGGAGAAAAGCGGCCGGGATTTACTGGGGTTCTGGCTCCTGAGAGACACCAGGATGGCTGCAGCTGCCACGCAGCACTCGGCCACTTCACCTCAGTGCGTGTGCGTGGCTTTGTGTGCTCCGGCCCTTGCAATCTCAGCAGCACTTTGCAGAAGCGGGTGTGAGCATCAGCTGTGGGTGCGGGTGAGTGGTGCAAGGTGCCCCCCCCCAGCTGCGAAACCGTCACACAGGCAGGGACGGCCCAGGGGACCCTGTGCGCAAGGACCACTGCAGCCGAGCTGGACAGGGACTGATGCTGCTGCGGCTCGCACACGTGTGAGCCAACGTGCAGCAGTATCTTGGAATCTGGCAGGCAAACAAGCACGGGAGGGGCTCCAAAGAACCCCCGCTGCCCCCATACTCCATACCCTGAGCCCTGGCAGCCTGTTGCACTGACAGCGCACCGGCGCGATGCTGGGAGCTGCGGCATTGCACACACACACAGGCACACACTCACGCTCCAGCCCTGCTGAGCACAACCTTTGTACCAGGTTGCCTTTCCTGCCAAACCCTTCCAATCGCTAAAATAACAACTATCAAAAGCAATCCCACCTCCCACCCCACCTTCCCCCCCGCTCCCTGGTGCCCCGCTCCCGCTCCCTGCTGAGGAATAAAAGGCCGCAGGCTGGTGAGCTGCGGCAGATAATTGATTTTACCGGTGGGGGCGGGTGGAGACGGGCAATTTGGGTTTGAATGTGATCTTCAGGAGAACAGGCGAGCGGCGGGGTGCGGAGGGATGGGGCTGGAGCACCAGCAGAGCCGGCAGCCCACGCTCCCAGCGCCACGGCGCAGAGCATCGCTCGCGGCACGTGCCGGGCAGGAGCTGAGGAACAGCATCCCGGCGCTTCCCGGCCTCCCCATCCTGCCATTTAATCCTGGCTGCTGGGAGAGCTGAGCTGTTAATATCCTTGTAGTCTGAGGCGGATTAATTGGAAAGAGGAGATAAAATGCTTCATATCCAGCTTGCCATGGGTGGGGGAGACCGGACCCATTGCCAGCCCTGCAGTGCCACTCTCCCCAGCCCATCAGGACCCCACACTGCCCGGGGTTTGGGGGCTCCAGTGAGCCCCTGTGACCCATTTTTTCTAATTTTTCCCTAAAGACACGTGCTTCCTTTTGCAGTGCCAGGAGAATCTGCAGCAGTGAGCGCAGCAAGCAGGGAAGCCCCAGCTCGGGGTTTCTACCCCAGCTGCAGGGTTTTGCTGCGGGACATGACGTGGGGTTGGAGGGATGTAGGTGTCCTGGACCCCTGGAGCATGGGGACCCCCAGCTACTCCTGGTCCCGGTGCCCATAGCCACTCGCTCATCCATTTATTCGAGCTTAACCTAACGGCATGGAAGGGGGAGCTGTGGGAAGCAGGATGGGAGGCGCTGCACCCACGGAGCACAGGGTTTCACACCGCCAGCTGCATTGGCAGCTTTTGGCTCCTTCAGGCCTTTTTTAACAGAAACCAAATGTCTGTGCTCCGTGAAGCACAGGCGAGACCCTGTGAGCCCACAAGGCACTGGGTGCGGGTGCAGAACACCCGGGGGTACAGCATGGTTGCCACAGCCCCATCCCTGTCTCGGTCTGCACAGGCTGGGACCCTTCCATGTTGGGTGTTTGACCCCACTGGGCATTTCACAGCAGCTGGGCTCTGCTCCCCATGCCAGGCTGCTCCTGTGCTTCCCAGCCCTATGTGGGGAAAAATCCCCCCTTGGGTCCACCTAAATGCAGCATCTCCTGCCCTGCAAACACAGGCGTCCCCCCAACACTAGGGGCTTGTAGGGCAGTGCGGGGGGTTCCAGGCAGGGAGATCAGCCCCATCTTGGTGCAAGAAACCCCTCTGGAAGGAGATGTGTGTCCTGTTCCCTGGCTGGGGGCAGCGGTGTGGCTCCCTTCCCTCCCGGGGCTCTTTGAATGGGTCTGACCCCACCCTGGTGGCAGCTGGGGACCCCCATCTCTGCCTGGCTCAGAGGTGGAGCATTCAGACGAAACAGCATGTCCCAGTTTTAGCACTGGATGGGGACATCACCCACACGGCCATGGGTAGGGACAGTGTCCATGTCCCCCCCAGTGGCTGCCATTTTAGGGTGACGCTGGACCCACAGCCCTGCAGCCAGCCCTGTCCCTCCAGCCCCAAGCCCTGGCACTGCTGTGTCTCAGCCCTCCAGCCCCTGTCCCTTAGTCCCCTGGGCCAGACATGACCCCATGCCTTGTCCCCAGGGCCTCTCCCCGCCAGCCCGAGCAGCAGCTCTGCCGCCGGGATGCTCCGCTTCTCCCTTTTTCACACCTTCCCTGCCAGTGCCGGGCTGCGCTGCTGCCGCCCTCCCTCTCTTCAACACCTCCTCCTCCTCCAAGGCATTTTATCTCCTTTCTAGAGAGAAGAGTGTGGGCTGGGGATTTTTTGTTCCTCCATATATTTAATTTTTTTTTTCCTTTTTAATAAAACCCCTCTCCTGCAGCTCTGGGAGCGGAGGGGCTGATCGTACCGCTCGGCACGGTAATTGTCTCCAGCCTCTCCCTGAACCTGCCGCGGGGGCGGATTTGGAGGCGCCGATGGAGCTGCACTTCATGTTTGTCCTACTCCAGGGGGCCGTGGGCAGGATCCTCTCCCCGTCCCCCCTCACGCTGCCCCCCGCCCTTGTCCCGTCCCTTCCTGCAAGCATGGGGCGGTGGGGGGGATCAGAGCAGCTCCTCACTTGCTCAGCTTGGCCAGGGCTGCCACGGGAACAGGTTTTCCCCAGCTCCGTGTCCTCAGCTCGGGACAGATGCCCTCCCTGTGCCCAGGAGGTGCAGGGATGCACCAAGGGCTCATGCCCCATGGGGCAGGCTCTGCAGAACACCCTCCCAATCTCTGCCCCCCCACAAAGCCCCATCTTGGTGCTACCATTAAGTGGGTGGCATCTTAAACCCCCAGCTTGACTGGGTGTCAAGATGGGTGACAGCCAAGGAGATGGCAAAGGAGCACAGTGGGTGCAGCAGCAGCCTGGCACCCAGCACCTCCCTCGTGACAACCAGGCTTGGGGACACCCCACGTCCCCCCCAGCAGACCGTCCCAGTCCTTTGGGGACAGCATACCCAAGACAGAGCCTATCTGCTCCAAGTTCCTGCAGGCTGCTGCTCCCTTTCGGGGTCGGGGTGGGTTGGAGCCGTGCTGCCCACCCTGCACCCTGACCAGCACCGGGAGCATCTCGCTGGAGGAGGAACGCCACTTCCCACGGCGAGCAGCTGCCGCAGCAGAGCAGAGGTGCGGCGCTTCGTCCTGATTTCCCTCTCTAAACCCACGAAGTGGAAATTTCCCCATGGGAAACTGCTGATTTTTGAATGTGCCAGGATGTGCTGGAAACCGTCCTGGTGGAAAATCCCCAACCAGCTCCATGGTGCCTTGACCAGCCTGGTAAAGCCCCTAACCCTGGAACATGCCTCAGTGCTGAGGTGGTACCTGCCCCCCGGAGTGGAGGGGAAAGCTCTGGGATGCACCAAGCTGGGGATGCTGCCCCAAGCTGCCGGCCAAGCCATGCTGCCCCTGCATCACCCCCGGAGGTCAGGTGGGATGGGGTGCGATGCTCACAGGGGGCTGGCAAGTCACTGCGCCAGCTTTGCTCCTTTAATTGTGAGCATGTTAAAATGCATCTATCGAGGTGGTTTTATACTGTGATGCTGGGCAGTGTGGGTAGCCCCCAAGTCTGGGTGCTCAGTTCTCTGTGTCAGCACCCACCTAGCAAAACGTTGCACCCCAAACTCCTCCAGGAGCCCTCCTGGTCCTCCCCCATCACGCCTGGCCTGCAAGCTCCCCTCCACTTCCCTGCAGCTACGTCCACCCAGCCAGGGCCCAGCAGCCTCCCTGCAGGCACTCAGAAGCTGCTGCTTCTCCTGCCCATCCCCTACCACCACCACAGAGCCTCAGAGCCCAGAAAACCCAAGAAACCTCTGGAAAAAGCAGGTCCCAAACCCCACCTTACCACCAGCTCCCTGGTGGGTGCCCATCCCCCTGCATGCAGTGCCAGCTGGGACTGTCCCCGCTGCAGGGACCTGCTCCCTGGACCCACTACCCCCCGCCAGCCCCTCGCAGCCACCCTGATGCTGAGGGGATGGATGAGATGTGCATGTCCTGGGACAGGGGGGATCACTCGCATCCAAGGAGCTGCACTTTAGAGCAGCAACCCAGTCCCCCCCATTTGGCTGGGGAATATAAACAGCTTTCAGCCTGGCACAAAGTCCTCCCCTGTTTCAGCTTCTTTATTTCTCCATTTTTGTCCTCTCCTTTCTCCCTCGCCCCCGTTTCGCACACCCACACGCGTGCAGGCGCACATTTAGGCACAGGCTGCCCCCAGCCCGGGGGCTGCGGGGCTGGAGTGAGTGCCTGTGCCTACGGACAGACACAGTCACCCATCTGCCACCAGCCACCCGGCATAGGCACCCCCAGCCCGCCACCGCGCCGCTCCGAGGGGAACGTGGCTGCACGCCCCGCATTTACACACCAGCTCTGAAAAAAAGGCATGGAAACCAAAACACAGGCACACGCCTGCTCAGTTCTGCACCCGTTTCACAGCCACACATTTGGCGAGACACAGAGCACCCCTCTGCCCCGCACGGAGGACCTGGAATCTCCTGCTGCACCCCGGGGGTGTTCAGTGCCCCCCAGATCACCTCCTTGGCACAGGCATCTCTGTTGGCACACATATGCACACACACATGCCCCCTGATCCAGGCACACGCGATGACACCTGGACCTGCTGAGCTGAGCCCTCCCTGGCAGGAGAGCTGGGTCAGGCAGTGGCTCACCCGGGGGGCACTCACGCTGGGACAGAGACAGAGGTGGGAGACACCCCGTGTCTGTCCAAGAGCCGCCGGGATTCTCCAGGGGCTGCCAGGCAGGCTGGTCTCTTGCAGGACTAGCCAAACCCCAGTGAATCCGCACAGAGAAATTCCCTAAAGAAATGTGAGGGGCGCCCGCCGCTTTGGCTTCCCTCCTCGGCTGTCCCGTCCCTCCTCCCAGCTGGAGAAGTTCCTGGGGGAGCCAGTAGCATCCTCTTTCAGGAGCGGCTTTTCCGTAAAGGAGGCAGCCTCCCCCTCCCCGGGCAGCCCCCTGGGGTGACCCGAGGCCCCAGCCGAGCACCCGTCAGCACCACCCAAACTCGGGAAGGGACAGAGCGGGCAGGGCTGAGACTGGCAGCCCTCATCCTAACCCAAGTCCCCCTCACTGCTCCCCAGTACGTTTGCTCCATGCCGGTCTCCTTTCCCCGTCTCTGGCGGTTCCCAGTGCCGCGGAAGCTCTTCCCCAGCTGGGGCACAGCCCCACTCCGAGCATCCAGCCCCATCTCCAACTTACTTGCCCAGTTCCTCGAAGAGCTGGTACTCCTCGGTGAAGCGATTGCAGGTGATGGTGGCCATCCCGAGGGGCTGGAAATGCTCCCTCCCCAGTGCGGAGTTTGGGGCAAGCAGTTCTCCTCTTGCTCCCTCCCTCTCTGTGTGCTCCCGGGGCTCTCTCCTCGCCGAGGTAAATAAGGGAATATGTTTGATTGACAAGCCCGGAGATAATGATGAGGGCAATTTGTCTTCTCAGCTTCACAAGCCTTCGTCAGCATCCCCGTCCCCATGGCGACCACCGCTGCCAGAAACGCCCTGTTTCTGTTGCTGGGGCAACTGCTTCCCAAACCTGTCGCCCGCCCATGGGGACCAGGGCCCTGCTGGGGACCTGGCCCCGGGGGCTGCCCGGGGGTCACCCGGCTGCTGCGGGGTGGGGGAGGTCTAAAATGCAAATATTAAAGGCATATTAAAGGACACGGTAGTGGTAGAATAATTGGGGCAAAAAGGGTTTCCATGGAAACCATGATTTCCATGTTGCAGGAGGATGCTGTCACCCCGGCAACTCCTTCCCCCCCCCAAAAAAAAAAAAAAAAAAAAAAGGCCCTGCTGGTGCCCACAGAAGCATCTCTCCAGGGACCTGGGGGGCTGTGGGACAGGGGACGTGCTACAGCAGGTCTCAGTGGATGGGAGCAGATGGAGGATGGAGCAGAAGTGTGTCAGGAGAAGCTGGAGAAACCATGGCAGGTCCCCAGGTCCCCAGACTGGCCCGCCATCAGCCAGGCTCCCCGGGGGGGGAGCTGGCCCCAATCACTCTGCAGGGGAGGGCTGGCTGTGCCTGGGAGCTGCTCCCCACTCCTGCTTTGTCCGATGGGTCTCCCCGTGGGCACCGGGGCTGCTAGGGGAGCAGCACCCAAGGGTCCCCCCATTGTGGGGCAAGCAGCTTGGCCTAAAGCACAGCTAGAGGGGGAGCAAAGAGGCTCTGTCCTGCTGCTTCCCCGCAGTGCCCCAACCAGGGTGGAAAGCAGGGGGATTTCAGAGTGGGAATAGGTGGAAGGTCTGCCCCCCTCCTCCTCTGGCTTTTTGCTGCTGGGTCACCCCTATGCAGTGTTTAACATAAGAAAGCACCAAAAGGGCCATAAAAGTGGAATAATGAGGTCCAAGACCTCAGGGAAGAGGTTTCCCTCTAAGCCCACCTTGCTGCCAGCACCCCTGGCAGCACCCACTGGGGAACCAGCACCCTCTCCTTCATCTACACCATCCCTTGCACCCTCCCACCTTCTGACACCGACCCCCCCCCCCCCGAAGAGCTTCCTTCTAAGCTTTTGTCCCATTTCTGTATGATTTTCCAGCAGAAGGAACCCCCACCACCCCGGGAGAAGGGGCTCCCACTGCCGGCTGGGAGGGCATTGCCTTTGACAGCTGAGATGGATTGAGCTCCCTTTCAGGCTGCCATGGAAGGGTTAAAAGGAAAATAAAAGGCTCTAACCAGACAAAAATAGGGATAAATCTTTGAGAGAAGAGAGAGAAGGAGGAGCAGAGAGAGGGAGAGAAGAAAGGAGGTGGAAGTGGAGGAGGACAGCAAGTGGCGGAGTGAGGAAGAAGAGGGGGAGGAGGAGAAAGGTCTAATGGCTTTTCCATTAATTGCACCATTACCCACCTTCATCCCCACCCTGCGTCCCTGCATCCAGCAGGGCAGGGACCCAATTCCCACCTGTGGATGGGGAGACAGGACCATGGTCCCCGAGGGCTGATGGCCTCCAGACCCACTGTGGCCATGCCACAGCGTGGGCAGAGCACACCAGGCCCCCTCACTTGGGGTGAGGGGGATGCACGTGCGTGATCTGTGCCCTGGGGATACGCTGGTCCCCAAAACGCCTCCCTGCCTGTGCATGTCCCCTCCCCATCCCACTCCCACGTGAAAGGGGGCTTCGTTCACCACCCCCGGGGCCATGCCAGGAGGCGGGGGGCTGATGCGGGGGCTGGTGCAGCCGGATGCTCGGAGGAGCTCTCTCCTCCTCCAGCTTTTTGCTGCCAGCCGCCAGCAGCCCCGTGGAGCTGAAGGGTGGAAGGAAGAGCCCCCGCCAAGCCGGAGACCCATGAACGCTCCTGGGCAGCTGTGTGCAACCACCTCGCTCCTGCCTGTGCTAACGTGCATGTCCCCGTGGGGGCTGCGATGTGACCTGCCCCCTCTTCCCATGCCCACCCCCATGCTGGCATGTGTGTTCAGCCCCACACGCATGACTCTGAGTGCTCCTGTGGCCAGGAGGAGGGATCCATCCCTTCCTTCCCCCCTGACCTCCACACCCTAAACCCCTCACCTGGTGATGGCAAACCCTGCCGTGGGGTCCCTCCCTCCCCAGGTTTCTCCTGCCTGGCAGAGATGCAGCTCTCCAGGAAGGGTTCTTCCCTTCCTGCCCTCCTCTCTATTCAGTTTTTTCCTCAGCATTTTTCCCTTTTGGAGGGTGAGGGGGTGTCAGGCTTCTGGTTGCTGAACATGCTCTGCTTTGCTGCTGATGTTTTCCCAAGCAGGAACTGCTGCGTGGTTCAGCTCCACGGTGCCTGGGGACAACCCAAGGGGAGCAGGAGCTCTGGCGGGACCTTCCCTCTCCGGGCTGGGGGCTCTCCCACCATCTCCCAGGGGAGGGGAGCAGTCCCAGCCCTCTCCCAGAGGCCTCAGGGTCCTCTTCAGGTGTCTCACCTCTGCCAACGTCTCTGTTCCTGGCCACCCCAAGATTTGTTCCTGCAGGGTTTGGAGAGTCAAGCTGCTCTCCTGCTGCCGTGCTCGGGTCTGGCCGCCTGATGGAGACCTTCATCCCCAGCAGCTCCTCTCCATCACCCGCCTGCCTCTCCAGAAATGCCTCTTGCTCTCCCCATGCCTGCTCCAGCTCTACCTACAGATATTTAGTTTCTGTATCCCAGCATGGGACTGCCCCAGCGTAGGCACCCAAGGTCTGGCACCAAACCCCAGATGCACTGGATGAGCAACTGCTCCACGGGGCTCGGGGAGGACCCGTGTGTCCCCAGGGGGCTGCAGACGGTCCCCTCCTCCCATGGGACAGGGTTTGCATGGGCCTCAGGGAGCTTTCAGCAGTGCCTCGCATGCACAACCAGTGGGGCTGCGAATTACATATTGCAGAGATCCCAAAATTACTGGGACGGCTTCACACGCAAGCTGGGGTCTGGGGGATGCTCAGTTTCTGTCCTCTGGGAAGCTGAATTTGGGGCTATTTTTAGATAAAGATTATAAATACCATGGTAAGCAGAGCTGATTTACATTTAGGGTTGTGTTTGCAAACGTGCCCTGTCCCTGCGGACCCCAGTACTCGTTCGTGTGGCCACATGAAACTGCTTTTGGCTGGGACAGGGTGTCCCCAGGGCCACCCTTTCCCCAACACCAGGGTTCATGGGCAGGGACCCTCCTGTAGACGTGGCCATGGATACTTAGGGACCCTCTGCAGGTGCCATGTGGCTCCCTGGGGCCATCGTGTGCTGGCTCTGGGTGGGGAGAAACCTCTGCAAAACCACACATCCTCGGACCCCTGGGAGGAGAAAGGATGCAACTGTCTGGCTTGAGATACAGCCCCTGGTCCAGAGCACCCTCTCCCCAGCATGAGGTGCCCAGCGTGCCCTGCCGCCCTCCCACCATGGTGGTTTGCTGAGATGTCCATCCCCTTTCCTGCTACTGGAGTTCTCCCTTTTACTCCCTCAGGTGGATGATACCTATGGGGCTAGAGAGGGTCTGAGGTACCCCCAATCCTGCCTGACCCATCCCATCCTCATCCTATCCCCTTCTCCATCTCCATCCCATCCCAACTCCATCCCATCACGACTCCCTCCAGCTGGCAGGGTGGAGGCATCGCTCCATCCCGACGGAGGAGAGGCTGCCACTACCCCTCACCCCACCCTGCCCTTGCCTCCTCCCAGCCCACAGCCCAGATGGCCCCAGACGCTTCCCCCTGCCCCATCCCCTCCGCAGGGCCCCACCCTGCATCCAGCTCCCACCCGGGGTGTGGAGCAGCCCTCGGCTTGCCACGGCTCTTTGAAGGGTGGTTGGGAAGGAGGGGAGCGCTCAGCCCGTGTCTGTGCAAACACATCTGCTGGGTGCAGCATCAGGGCTGTGCAGGGAGCTCCACCGCCTGAGCATCTCACCAGCTGCATTAACCCCTTGGCAGCCAGAGCACACAGGCACTCCCACGGGACTTGAACTGTGTGAAAACACAGGATTTTGACACGCTGTTGCATTTTTTTCCCCACAGAGACCATTAAAGAGCAGTGGTGGGATGGGGAGCCCACGCAGCTGCCACCGCCTGCCCTTCCCAGCCCAACATTAGATACAGTGGGGCTGGAAACAGCGGTGAAGGACAACTACTGTCCTCAGGCTGGAGGCTCTGCCCTCTCCAAGTACCCAGAGATGCTCCTGCCTACTTTTCCTCTTTGTTTTTGGTGACTAAGACTTTCCTTCAACAGTTTCTTTTTGTAAAAATTCAGAATGCAACTTTTTTTAATTAAAAAAAAAGAAGAATGCAGATCCAACACTACAGCTAATCTAACTGCGTCAACCCGGCATCAGCCCAGCAGATCAGAAACTGGAAATGAAGCAAGACCAGATGAACCTTTTCATGGGGATATTAGTAAAAGTGAAGGGAGAAAAATCAAACATGTTTTCATGGAAATTTCCATTTTTGAAGAAAAAAAAATAAAAGAAGGACTAATCTTGGATGCATTTATATAAATATGGAAATGAAAGCTGTTTCCCGATCCTTGTCACCGCCCCATGGCCAGCCCTGCTCTCCCGCTCCCTCCAGCACTGGTTCCCCCTGTGCTGTGACTCATGCTGGAGACCCCCACAGCCATCACCCCCTGCCCTCCTCCGGCTCTGGCTCAGCCTGCAGCAGCCTCCACATCTTCAGCAAAATGTTGCTTTATATTCAGCCACTGGTTGGCTTTGCCAAATGGCAGCTGGTGCCGCAGCCCTGTTGTCAACCGGCACACCCGGGGATACCAGGCTGGTTGAGGTAGTTCCAGGATGTGCAGCACCCTCCCGGGGCTCACCTCAGCCAGGGTGATGCTGTGGGGACCGGTCCCCATGGAGCGACGTGCTAAGGGATCTGGGAATGGAGATGGGGTTGATGGAGGAACCGAGTGCCCCTCTGCCACCTGTCTGTGATGCCACTGCAGGGGACGTGCCCATGGGGATGCAGGGGGCCAGCAGGATGGCACGGTGATGGGTGTGCGCAGCGCAGCTGGGACCGGTGCACACGCTGCCACACTCTGGCTTTGCAAACTCTTTCCCATCTCTACAACAAGAGGCCTCCTCTGTTCTGCCTTGCTGTCAGCTTTTTTTTTT